CCCCGGGCCGTGCCCCGCACCCCGCCGCCTGCCCCCGCCTCGGGCCAGCTCCAGGTGGAGGTAGTGCTCTACGGCTGCAGCCAGCCCCGCAGCTTGGGGTTACTCACATTTCTGTTAATAATGGGGAAAAAAGAACCCCGTGCCGCCCTAGTTACTCTGGTTGCTCGGGTGTCGGGTTTAGCGGGGGTTCTGTCTGCCTTCCCGCGCCCCTTCCTGCACCCAGCGCAGGCATCTCGCTAAACTCATTGCTGTGAAAGATCGCTTTGAAGTGCTCTCAGGCATCTCCTAGTCCCTGGCAGAGGTCTGGGTTTGCTAGCCCGCTTGGCTTTTGGAAATGGTACGCAATGTAAGGAAACTGTCAGCAGTCTGTCTCAAAAAGATTTTGCATGCCAAAACATCGACCGTTCAATTGTGGCTGCTATGCTGAATATTTAATTGACAGACACAGGCAGGGGAAATCAACTGGCTTCCAACAAAGAGATTAATAACACAACAGCACGTGAGTTTAATACTCCAGACACCACAGTCTTTAAAACAATTGTTTCTGCTTAGAGCCCATTTTTTAAAGACTGTCAGTTTGATTTAATTTTTATGTAGTTTATTGATCATCTGGTGTATATTACGAGGCACTAATACATTAAGAAGAGAGGCATGGTTTTCTCTTTATATTCCCACAAGAATAGAGGCCAGTGCAGAAAGCTTCATCTTCTTGTATCTGGAAAAAATAAAAATACTTGATATCCCATATATGAAACTAATATAACTAGAAACATAACTAGCTTGACTTACCTCACTTATTTAAAGAGAAGGTTGCATTCCTAGTAAAACAGCTCCTAGGAGTCAGAACTTTTAAACTTTTATTTATGCAAGTTTTCTTAAACTGGCATGAGTAAGTGCTATTTGAGTGGCTAAAGGGTTTTTCTTCCCTGTCTCTAGACTAAGGGGCCTAACTGCAAAAGCAGTTAGTTGACATGTGTTATTCTACTTGTGATAGTTTGGGTAAACAGAACTTATCAAGCATCAGTGGAAGGTATTGTTGGTGGGGAATAATGTGATACAGCAAAAACTGTGATTGTTGCTTTGTTTCGCGTTACTACAGGTGGAAATCAGAAAGTAAACACCAGAGTTAGTTTTCTTGTTTGGGTTTCTTTTTTTTTTATTTATTTAGTGTGAGGAGCATTTAAAAGTAAGAGCATGAATTCAACAGCAGAAGGAAATTTTAAATCTGTCTGATCACCAGCAGGTGAAGAGTACAGGTGGGACGTGGGAAGAGAGGTGATCACACGATGGATAGCCCATGATGTGTGTTTGGGCATGGGCTTTTCAAATACACCCAGACCAGTAGTGTCGGACCTGCTGGTGGATGACTGGGCATGAGGTGCTGTGAAAGCCAGCTGCCCAGCTCACAGGAGGCTTGGCTTGCTCTTCTCTCTGCCTTTTGCTAGGGAAGACTAAGAGCTTATAGTTTCCAAGCACTAGATTACCAGTTTTCTTCCTTCCTAAGCTTGTCAAAAGCCACTTTGAAGGTGAAAAAAAGGTGCTCTAGCTGAAGCCTGTCAGAGAAAGTTGGACAGATACAAGTTGATGGGTATTTACATGTTGGGTAGAAGAACGGAATCCTGTGTAAGACAATGAGAAGCAAAACTGGGCAAAGTGACTTGTTTTAAGGTGGCGGTACTTGGTAGAGGTCTTCTGCTGGTGCATGTAGGCACATGGCCAATGGCCTCCAGTGCAGTTAAACTGAGTTACGCCTCTTGAGCGGCTGCCCAAAGACATTCAGAGCAGCAGGGAAACAGAAGACTTTTTCTCATTTGAGGAGCACTTTAGGAAATATTAAAACCGGTCATTTGATTTGCAGAGGTCTGTGACGCTGCGTTGGCTTCTGCTGCAGGTACTGCCGTAATTCTGACCCGAATCGGTTTTCTAGGAGGGGGGCAGAAATGAAAAGAATAAACTATGGCTGAAATGTCTTTCAGAAGTGACACACATCAGCTCTCTGTGAGGTGGTAGATGTGTACAAACCCTTCTTTGTTTACATACAAGTTTAAACAAATTACACAGAAGACAATTATCATAAACATTTAAGAAAGTCAGAATAAGTGAAGCCGAGCTATCTGGAGCTTCCTTCAGCTTTACTTTGGTGCGAGTCATTAGAAAGATCCACTTTGTCTTTCATCACTAAGTACAATGGTTATCTTGATAGTAAATGTATAAGTGGAAGATTTGTATCTTTGTTCCTTGGGGATCCTGGGAAGCAAAGTTACTGAGCCATTGGCAGAAGTGTGTTGCGGGTTAGCACGGAGCTGACTATTTCCAAATACCCCACCTCTCTAATGAGTGCACTTTGCACTGGCAAACTCCTGGTGTCTTGCATGAACAAGAGGTTTCATCACTGGCACTGGGAACTTCCCAGAAATTTCATGTCAGCGCTCAAACTCGGTAAAAGAGGCAGAAAAGAACTGAGTGTGCATTTATTAAAGCAGGTCATCCGAGGGGGGAAAATAACTTTCTCCATCTGCTTCCTCCTCTCGGGAGGGCTCTGTTTAGAGAATTAGAAGATGCTTCCTGAAATTGTTAGAACTGCAGGTGAGCCCAGTGGTGTGGAAGAGTCCCCGCTGCCCTGTCCCTGTCTCGCTGGTCACCACGACACATCTGAAAATGTGATTGAGGAGCTCAACCGGGTA